TGATAAATCGGACTTGGATTTGGCGTCGATTTGCTCTCCCTTAATTTCTCTCTTTTTCACTTTCGATCCACCTCACTCTCGATTAACGTTTACTACAATGAATCTAGCTGTGGATTTGGAGCATGGAACCATGGATAATCTCAGATCGGGACTGCAGACTTTCTTCGTAGAGAACTGAGACCGCATTCAAGTAAGTCAATCTTGTAGATCTGTTCGATTTTAGGGTTGATTATACTTTGTTTAACTGTAAAATAGAGTTTACATAGTGAGATTTTTGCCTTGTAGGGTTTCGTCTGAAAGAAGAATAGATCTATAATTCGATTTACTCAGTTTTCACAAGGGAAGGAAGTGAGATATTTTTCATAAGAGCTCTAAATACAGACGAAGAAGAATTCATGGCAGAAATCGATACGCAGAAGCAGCTTCTCTCTGGGATCCGCGACTTCACCTCTAAAAGCTAGGTCTCGTGGAGGTAAAAACGATCTTTATGTATGTTTTTTCTTGAAATTTAGTGTTTAGACGTTGCTTGTATGCAATTCGATCTTCTTAGTCTCTTTAATTTGAGAAATATGGTTTTCTTTATTGTTGGTCATTTTCTTGTCAAGAGCAAAAGGTGGTTGGGGTGAAGAAGCGGATCGGGACTCTACAGTCGGAAGAAAATGCGAAACATATCAAAGAAATTGCAGAGGAAGAGGCTACAAAGTCGAAATTGCAGAGGAAGAACTCTAGAGGTTTCCATTTTTCCTTTATTTACTTGGTTTGTGGGATGGTTCAAAATATTTCTTATCGTGAGTTTGTTAACAAGGTATTGCTTGAAATGAAATGTCTTTTTCAGGCAAGGATTGTTCTTCTTCATGACGAAATTTCCATGGTTGGCAAGGAAATAGTTGCTCTTAAAGGTATGCACATGGCTTTTTCTTTTTCTGAAATGAAGTGGATGTAACTTAAAGTTCTATATAAGTTTTAGTGCTTATAAGTTGTAACTAATAACTTGTTCCCTTTATGAAATTATGGATTCATTTTAAATGGCTTTGATGGAACAGAGAACAAGGAATATCACTCAGGTTATTTCATCTTTTCTAACATCTTAACTAGTTCTACTTCGTTTTTGACATGGACTTAGGTTGTGTATGGTAATTGCTTATTTTATTTGTCATACATAGATCAGTTTATAAGCCACATATGATGTGTTTAGACGGTGAACAAGATTTGGTCATCATATCCTGAGCGTTTTTAGCAAACATAGTTACACTTTGTCATGAATGATTGCTAATACTGTTTTTGTTTGTTTGTTAGCAAATTGGAATGACTATGAGTGTAACTACTTTTGACTATCTTTTAGTAGCTTAACTAACATCAAAAGTGTGCTTGGAATCATGGACCTCGAAGTTCAGGTTCTATCAATTTTGTATCTAACGACGTTCATATTTTCTGGTTTCTCTTCTCACTTTATGTTTTATTTTTGTTTGGGCATTAACTTCTTCTCTAGACCCATATGGCAGGACAAACTGCCAAGCATTCCGAAATTCCTGTAAGTGTTCTCTAATTTGATGTATTACTAGTTCTATGGAGGCACTTTAGGTTGACTATCTCAGAAGTTCAACAAAGGGAAGAGGAAGATAAGCTATGAAACCTCTCTTGCACCTGAACTAGCAGAGATGCAAGAAGAGCTTAAATCTGCTCGTCTTAAGCTAGCTGAGCATGATGAGGAGAATAATCGACGTGATGAGGAGCTAAAGGAGCTAAGGCAAAGTCATGCTCGGGTTTCTGAACTTGAGAAGCTCCTCACGTTTTTGAAGAAGGAAAATCCGTAGATCGCAGCATACATGTCTCAACCCCCTGATTTGGACTCAACTCAACAACCGATGGATTGAGGCTGCTCAACTCAAGTCCCTCCTGCCAATGACAACACTTGATGGTTTCTTTTTATCCCTACTCTAAGTTTCTGTTTTTTGTTTGAACAAACAAGTTTATAACACTTTTGGTTATGTATAATTAACTTCTTTTGTCAAGCTTTTAAGCCTTAATTATGTAATGTACAAT